CATGCGGCCTTGTAGACAGCTTGTAAGGATATAGCCTTTTATACAGACTGAGACGAGGCCACCGCAGGGTTTGAAGGAGGACAGTGGGTGAACCTGAATGACCACACACTTGTATGAATGTCACGCTGATTGTGTAGCTGTACACACACCCTGTGTGTGTTTATATGTACATGTTTTTACATGTTTGTACGTGGATTTGGGCGCAGGCATGTTCAGATTCATGCAGGTAACCCATAGGTGTAGATGTGAGAGCATGTGGATGTATATCTGGTGGGTTTTGTATCCTATGTGAGGGAATTGAGTCACGTGTGTGTGTGTGTGTGTGTGTGTGTGTGTGTGTAGAACTCAGAGGGTTGTACTGGGCAGGGTGAGTTGTGGAGAGGTGAGGGGGAGTCAAGGAGGAGCTCTGATTATTTCAACCTTGAAAACAAATTTCAATTACAATTTACAACCTGCAGACAAAGGTTGCAGTCACTGTAGCAACCACTGTGGGGTTTTGACAGAGAAAATCCTCTCCGATGGTTCCCTGGCTGGCTGTCAAGCGTGGCGGAGCCAAACGCATCTCCGGCTCATTGTGCCCCGGGACACAATTAGGACATCTTCAAACTGTTGCTCCTGTCATTGCTGCTGTGTGCCTGGGATTTATCTCTTCCACTAACTCTCAGAAATGTGTATCTTGCCTCCTCTCAGAGCTCTAGTGCCCCTGCCTGGGCCTGGGGGTCCCACAACTGGTGAGAGGGGATTTTCTGACCCCTTTTCCCTCCAGTCCTCCCTCCTCTAGTCCTGCAGACAAGGATCCTTAACTCCTGGTTAGGCTGGCCTCACCGCTCGCACAGGGCCTGGGCTCCACAAGGGAGGAGGCAGGTCAGGGGCTGGATGCGGGAGGAGAATGGGAGGCACAGTTCAGGGTAGTGAAACTCTTTTGGGCCCAGAGAGATCCGGGTTCAAATCCCAGCCCTACCACTCACCACCCAGGCCAGTCCCCAGGTATGCATAAACACCTACTAGGTGCTAGGATTCCTGCTAGATTCTGGGTATGNTAGATTCTAGGTATGTCACTCAACCATCTGCAAACCTCGATTACCTCCTGCCGAGGGGCTAGTCCAGCCTCCCTCCCAGAGCCACAGGGAAGAGAGCGGGGCAGGCAGTGAAGGCTCTGAGCGAGCGCGGGCCATGCTGGTGCTGGGGGCTCATTGCTGAGGAGCCAGGGGCTGTGTGGCGAGCTGCGCTGGTTATGGGCACAGCCTCAGGACGAAGCATCTTGTCCTTGTTTGGTGTTTGTGATTCCTGCACCCCCCCAGGTGTGGGCACTGAGACTCTGTCATCGTGCTTCCTGTGGGGTGCGGGGAGGGCCTGCAGGGCTGGAGGGGCATGTGTGCTTGTGCATGTGTGTGTGCACGTGCACGTGCGCAGGTGTGTGTGGAGGGCTCACTCAGGGCCTGGTGCTGCCTGGAAGGTAAAGGGCCTTTGTAGGCTGCCTCACTGGGCCCATTTTCTCATCTGTAATTGAGGCTAGACTGGAGCAGAAATCTGGATGTGAAAGTGTATTGAGAAGTTTCTAGAAGTCCATAGCTGGCACCATGGCAGCTTTGGAGGGACCCATAGCACCCCAGAGCCCTTCTCACTGGAGCCTNGGTGGAGATTTGGAGGGACCCATAGCACCCCAGAGCCCTTCTCACTGGAGCCTCCCAAGCAGAGGCAAGCTTCTCCGAGTGAGGTGCTTCTGTGAGGCCGTCCTCACGTCAGTGTCAGCACAGGTGGCTCTGTGACCCCAGTGGGAGCACTTGGTCCAGGACCCAAGCAGCCCAAGAATGGATGCTTCAGCTGGACCACTGAGGAGGGACCCCTGGGGAGACAGGGAGCAGAGGCTGAGGGAAGCTCAGTTGGGGAGGTGCAGCCGGGGTTCATTGGTCGTGTGTGTCCTTGGCCTTGAGAGAGAGCCGCCTCCTTGCTGCAGTGGCCGCACCTCCTCCTGCTGTCCAGGTTAATAATTCAGTCTCATCCTTTTGAACCGTGGGCTGATGGGAGCTGCAGGGAGCTGAGTTTTGCCTCCTTCGGGCTGCAGAGGGCAGGACCGGGGCGGGGGGGCTGCAGGGAGTGTGGGGTCCAGTTGGGGCCTTCCAGGCCGCCCTGTTCCAGTCCCTCTGTCGCCGCTTGAGGACAGGACTATTCCTTGCATTTCTCTCTCGGCTCTAGAACCTTGTGATCAGAGGCCTTGGACATGGGTAGGCTGGTGAAGCTGGAGATTTGCTTTTCATGTTCATCTTGTCCCTGTTCGTGCCTTGGCCTAGAAATAGCTTTGCTTGTTAGCAAAGCTCTGCTGGGCCAAGCCTGAGGCAGGGCGGGGCTTCCGCGTCCTTGAACCTGGCGTTTAATGGACTCCTGTAGCACTTGGCAAGCCCCAGCCTCTCATGCCCTGCAGTGAACGTTAACCCATCCGTCCTCTCAGGGCCCTGATCCTGACCCCTTGAGGTAAGTGCCATCATTCCCCTCNCCACGTTCATCCTGTCCCTGTTCGTGCCTTGGCCTAGAAATAGCTTTGCCTGTTAGCAAAGCTCTGCTGGGCCAAGCCTGAGGCAGGGCGGGGCTTCTGCGTCCTTGAACCTGGTGTTTAATGGACTCCTGTAGCACTTGGCAAGCCCCAGCCTCTCATGCCCTGCAGTGAACGTTAACCCATCCGTCCTCTCAGGGCCCTGATCCTGACCCCTTGAGGTAAGTGCCATCATTCCCCTCATTTTGCAGATGAGGAAACTGAAACCTGAGAGGTGGAGTGATGGGTTTAAGGTTGGGTTCAAGGTCACACAGCTAGAGGCATTGGTGGAGCTGGGCTTCTGGCCCAGACAGTCTTGTGCGCATGCAGTGCGTGCAGTGGTGGTGGGCATTGCGGGGCTTAGCTGACAGCTGAGAGCCAGGCAGCAGCCTTGGACCCCCGCCGCCCCCCCCCC